GTTTTTCACGCTTTTTTCTCCACTCGCTCTGTCTGCGCCTCTCTTTCTCTCTCTCTCTCTCTCTCTCTCACTCACGCATTTACACTCTCCCCATCTCTTTCTCTCTCTCTCACACACACACACACTCTCTCTCTCTTTCTCTCGCTCTCTGTCGCGTTCTCGCGTTCGCTGTCCGTTGTTATTATTATTATTATTATTTTCTTGTTTTTTTTATTTGTTTTTAATATCGTCTCGAACGTTTGTGCGTCTTCTAGATTCTCTACAGCCTCGCTCTCACACGCGGGGATTATATAAACATAGAAACATACAAACACACATTGTTTTGTTTTTCTTTTTCGTTTACGTCTCCTCTTGTTCTTCTTCTTCCTCTTTTTCTTTTTCTTCTTCTTCTTCGTCTTCGTCATATTCTTCGTTTTCTACGTACTCTATTTTTATAATTCGCGACGCGACGTTAATTAGGTTTTACCTTTAGTTCGGCTTAATAGTAAGGATTTTTCTTTTTTTTCTTTTGCTCTTTAAACCCTCTCGTTTAATCAACTACGATTTATTTATTTATTTATTTTTTTCGAAGCACTTTATTGCAGGTTTTTTTTTATTTCATTTTAACGAAGCACTTATTGCGTTACGTCTCGAGATTACGCTCTCCCCGGATTCATCGCGTACTTTCGTTCTATCTCTCTCTCTCGCGCGCGCGTTCATCCTTTCTTTTATTTATTTATCTCCCGTATTTTATTCCGCTGTTTCTTTGTGTTCTTTTCGGCTTCATTCCTGCTCTCGTTACACTCACTTCAATTCTCTCTCTCTCTCTCTCTCTCTCTCTCTCTCGCCTTCCCTCTGTGGTTTCCTGGGCTCGTTCGTGTGACCACGTGCTCTCACCATGCATGTATTTGTATGTCTCTCTGCGCGGATCTCCGTGAGTCTTTCTGTGTGTATTTCTATCTGTATGCCTTCATATGTGTCTATCTTTCTCTGTGTCTCTCTGCGCGGATCTCCGTGTGTTTTTCTGTGTGTCTATCTATCTGTACGCCTTTACATGTGTCTATCTGTCTGTGTGTCTATCCGTGTGTCTACCTCTATGTCTATCTGTGTGTCTATCTGTGTATATATCGGTGTGTCTAACTGTGTGTCTATCTGTGTAAATCCTCCGAGTATACCTGTGCATGCGTGTGTGTGTCGTGTACGTTTACCAGCGGGTCTGTGTCTGTCGTGTGCGGCTATTACGTTCGTTCCGGTTGCGAATGCAATCTCAGGCTCACCTGTAATTTGAAACTCCGAACTGCGCCCGCGACCCGTCGCATTTTCAGATTTTCACAGTGCACTTGAGCAGCACTTCGGCGCAACAGGAACCACCACGCCGGGCTCGGCCCGACCAAGTTCAGACGCCCGGATCGATGGCCCGATGTGCCAACCGAACAAACGATCGGACCGATCTCGCCCGTTTCTGCGAAAATGAATCGCTCGTCTTCGCAAGCGAAATTACGGAGTTTCGTACAGCGTTACGTTCGAGAGTTAACTGCGGGAACCAGTTACAAACTGTGATCAAGAATTTAGGGCACGGTGTTCCGACGTTGTTCTAACGTGATCATCGTTTGGACTGCGGATTTTATTCGCGATAAAATCGGCTGGATGAAATTTCGAGCGACGAAGCACGTTGGAAGAATTTAAGGATGTTCTTGCATACAGCAGTGTCTCTCTAATCGACGCCCAGATTGTCCACAAATATGGACAATTTTGGAAAAGGAGATACGATTGTTCGAGCCTTGTGGCTCGTTTTTGTATGGTTATCGATCGTCAACAACTATAAAAACGAGTTGCAAGGCTCGAATAATCGTATCTCCTCTTCCCAAATTGACCATTTTAGTGCACAATCTGAGCGTCAGTAAGGGAGACATTACTGTAGTCCGTAATTCGTTTGAAGTTATCGGGAGATCATGTCACCGTGTCTATTTGCTATTTTTAATGAAACAAATTAATGTTATCTTGAAACAATGAAACAATGTTAATTATGTTAGACATATTATGTGTTCATAAACGATCGTAGTTCGACGAAATTAACGATCTAGAAGGAAGACGAAGCTCCGAATGAAGTTTCACGAACAGAAAAGTCGATGAAAACGTTTCACAATCGAAGCGCAAAGTGAGAGCTACGATAAAATGAATCGATCAAAAGAACAGTCTAATCGTTCGGTTTAAAAGTGAAGCATTGTCGGGATCTCTAGAAAACTAGACCAGGACAAATCTAACCTCCAATTACAAAATGAGAATGCAAAGAAACCGACTGCCGTGTCCACGGAAGAACAGTTCCTCCTTCACAGGATTATGAAAAAAAAAGCTCGCGAGAGATAACAATGAGTCGTCTGAACTTACCCGGCCGAGTGCCCGACTACAGAATACTCGTTAACCCGCGTGGCAGCGCGGGTTTAAGCACGTGTGTGTTAATCGGCATTTTCCTCTGAAAGACTTCTAACAATTTCGGTAATGTCTCCCTAACAGACGCTCAGATTGTGCACAAAAATGGACAATTTGGGAAGAGAAGATACGATTATTCGAGCTTTGCAGCTCGTTTTTAGAGTTGTTGACAATTCGTAACTGTAAAAACGAACCGCAAGGCTCGAATAATCGCATCTCCTCTTCCCAATTTTAAGGACAAACTGAGCGTCAATTAGAGAGACATTACCGTATATCCGTTGTGATCACAGTCGACGCAAGGGTGCACAGAATGGCGCGTGGAAAGTACACGCGGCACCACAATCGAGCGGATCGTCTCGCAGGAATTTCGTCGGCTGACCGTTCGCCGCCAAAATACGGGAGCTCAAAGGGAACAGAGAACAATATACGGGGAACAGAACAAAACGGAAGAACTCGCGTTCGCATCGGGTCACTCCCGGCGACGCGAGGTCGGTTCGGCGCGATCAATCGGTTCCCGGTCGTAGTCGATACGCGCGCACTGTCGCGGACACGAGATGTTTCCAGGTCGCAAAATCGGCGCGAGCCAAAAAGCGATCGCGTTCGAACGTCGGGACAATGGATCCGCAGGAGACTCTGCAGAGAAATCTTGCGGCCGAATCGAATCCGAACGAGAGCCCGTTGTCCAAACTATCGCGAAGCGATTGTTTCGTGGCCCGATTTTGCGGCTCGATTTTACAGCTTCCAAATATCGCGTCCGCGACTAGAAGTGCGCGAGAGTACTCGAACTTCGAGTCGAGTGACGATCGATCTTTCGAGCCGAGTCGAGCGGTCGTTCTTTTTTCTCGGGTTACTCGAAATCGACGAACTGTCCGAAACAGCGCGAGTCACGCGATAAATCCGACCGGCTCGGATACTCGCGCCTTGTGAAACATGTTGCATTTGCTCGCGCGTACGTGAACGTTCGAGAAATACGGCCGACACGAATATTTTCGACTTGGACATTCGAAAATGTTTCGGTCGAAAATTCGTCCCCAGCTACCTCGAAGTCTTACGAGCGCTCAAGAATTCGATTGCTTTCGAATAATCGGATGTTTCGAATAATTCGCATCGTTTCGAACACTTCCTCGTTTTCGAGCAGCTCGAAAAGTTGCACTTGGCTTGTGAAATCCGCGATATAGTCCGCGACAATACAGTATTCTCTCGATCTCTGTCAAAAAAATATCTCTACGATAACTGTCTAAAAACCCTCTATTATTCTTCCTACTCAATAATTCCCCTGATAGAACGAGACAATTTTTCCCTTTTACCTTCATCTTCTTTCATTCTTAGACTTCGATAGAAGTGAAATCAAATTTTATTTCGATATTAGACAAAAAAATAAATAACGCTCTCATTTAGAACTATGAAATCTCCATCAGAAGTCTAACCCGTGTGCAAAGAGGTTAACTTCTCACCGTCTTCCTTTTCCAATCGCATCCTTCTCCGCGTTCGACGGCAAAATGTAGCACCTCTGCCGTAACTGTGTTGCCAGGCAGGATACAAAACGGTGGGGGAGCATTGCTAGATCGTTTTGGGAACGGGTTCTCTCAGCAACGCGACCAACGGGAGGGGGAAGCAACGCGACGCCGACTCCAATCAGAGGCTACACGACCGCGAAGCATTGCGCGTGCGTCGGTTCCCCCTCCCGTTGCTCTCGTCGCTGATCAGACCCGTTCCCAAGCCAGTCAGCAATGCTCCCCACCTTTCCGTATTCCGCCTGGCAACACCGAAGCACCGAGCCCGTAACTGTCACTCGGCAGACCGAAAACTGGAACAGTTATCGCAGAGAATACTGTACCGGGAACGAAACAGATCCGGCATTCCCGCGGAGGAAGAAGCGTCAACAACGGGAGCGCTCGTCACAGAAAACAAGTACGCAGTAAAAGATCGATCACGGGAGAGCGTTTCGTCGAGTTTCCCGGCGAGCACAAACAAACCTACCCTCTCGTCATCCCACCGTTTCCCCCGAGTCCGTCTCATCGTTCGCCGTCCGTTCGCGATAATTCGATGTTCCAACAATCGAGAGCCTGTAATTCGCGAGTACCGAGGATCCGTCGGTCGTTGATGTCTCCTCTCGAGGACAGCTCTCTCTCTCTCTCTCTCTCTCTCTCTCTCTCTCTCTCTCAGCATGCCTCGCTCCGAACTCTCTGCTTGTCCACGACCGAAATGCACCGACGCCGCTCCTCCAACGCGTTCTCCGCGGAAGAACGGGACTCGCGGGATCGCACTCCGGTCACTCGTTTCAGGGATGTCAGCCACGATCTCGCGCTCTCCTCCATCATTTCCTCTCGTTTCTTCTTTTTCGCTTCGCTACGATCGATCGCGGACACGCGCCGCGGCGTCGCGTGTGTACGTGCGCGTGTCGGTGTGGCTGCGTGTAGTATCGGTAACAACGTGTAAGGCATAGCACTTGCGGGATATGAACGTATGTGTGTTGAGTCTGATCGCGCGACCCGACGACGGTACCTGGACGCCACGGGTCTTTTCTCCCTTTTTTCACTTTCTCTCTATCTCTCTCCCCCTTCTCCCTTTCTCCCTCTCAATCTCCCTCTCAATCTCCCTCTCACTCTCTCTTTCTCTCTCTCTCTCTCTCTCTCACTTTCGTTCTTCCTCCTTCTCTCTCTCGGCCGAGGGCGCCGAACCGAGTCGAGCCGGGCCTGGTCGGGTCGGGTACGCGAAGAGCACTGTCACTATGCCCGTGTTTGTGTGTCCCTGTCGTCCGTGTCACTCGGGCGTCGCCCGGCACCACGCGGGCCACGCTGCTCCGCCGGCTGATAGGCCATGTGATAAGTAACAACCGGCCGACGGCGGCGACGAGCTTCAGAGGGCGAGCCATGGAAGCTGATTCAGTTTGACCGGATCTCGACGGGGCTAGGCTGTACGCTGCGGCGACAGCGATAGAAGAGGCACGCTGGCAGGGCCCTCCCCGTCGAGCGACCGTCATACGGGCGTCTCGAACGTTACCTGGAACAGGGTGCAACAATGCGACTCAATCAACATCTTGGACAACGGCATAGTTCGGCGTCGCGCGAGTTAACGTTCGTTCGAACGAGGAGATCTCTCGAATATCTTCACATTAGGGAGATCTCCCCGGTTTATATTCAGTCGATCGATGACCGATTGGGGAAATCTTCCGCGTCGAAATTGAATTTCGAAAATTAAATTTTAGTTTCGACAAATTACAAATGATTGCTTCGTTTCATTTAGATTTGCATGAGGTACGAACGTTGGAGACGTTTGTCAATTGGAAGTTTAAGCGGGAGAGAAAAATGAGTATAGTCATTTCTGCCAGAAATGTTCGGAGATTGGAATCGAAACCGGCTGATATGAGAATACTAAGCCACGATTCTTCGGGCCTCGCGGCTCGTTTTTATAGAAATTCGGGGCAGTCGGTGAAAAAGGCATGCTGGAATAAAAACGATGACTTAATTTTGTTATTTCTAGTCTTTTGCTGCGATTCGAAGGCACTTCGGAGGCCACGTGACACGATTCGAAGGCAATTCGGAGGCCACGTGACACGATTCGACAGAGATCGGTCACGTATCTCGTAACACCGCGGTTTTTTATATGACTCACACTTAAACAGACCATTTTGTGCTGTTTTCTATCGAACATAAGCATCGACGTAACAATAAATCACATAGGCGTAGGACTAGCACAGGGAAATTCACAGCAACCCGAAATTTTGCATTTCCGGGAGAAATTACTGTACTTATTGTTTATTTAGGTCTGAATAAGTTATGTAAAATAACGAATTGTATTTCTTATTTATAAATACAACTTTGATTGTTAATAGTATACTAATTATAAGAAAATGATCTTACGGACATAGTAGTTGTCTAAAATAAAAGAGGGAAAATGGACTCTTAGTTGCGTCGAGTTTAGCAAGAATTAATACCATGGAAAAATAGATAATTAGGATAATGGTGACGTTTTGGAATTTAGGCATTTCGCAGCAATAATAAAATCACGAGCAGATTTCAAAGTAGCATAGGCGTCGATTTGGAGAACCCGCCGAAACAAGGAATTTAATTTTCAACGATTCGAGGTTGGTCTGTTCCTAAAATTAATACCAGCCAGCCGCATTAACATTTCGCTCGCAAGGAATCGATATTTCGATACCGTAGCACAGTTCCGCGATACTTTGATAGTTGCACGCGGTGCTCGTTGCTTGGCTGTCGATATCTCCCTGCTCCCTTTCAGCTCGGATCACACGCGACAGTCGCCGAGACCCTTTGTAGTTTCTTGAAAGATTATTTCTCGCTGCGCCGATGTCGGCTGATCATTAAGAGTCGCGCAAGAAGGTCAGAGCTAAAAGTCAAAGGAACTGGGCGCAGTACTATCGCGATTGTTCCGGAATAGCCGGTGGAAGTAATTTCTAGGCGACAAGGTCCTGTCACCGGCAACAATGGCGGATCTACTGCATAGGTGGAACGCTGGTCTAGCATTAAAGTGAACCGCTATCATCTTTGTCGCACGAACAGCGGCGTCCATTAGGATCCGAAGTGCAAATATTGCTTTTTGACTATCCAGTTTCTGACGATTAATTAAACGTTCTTCGCTGATCGGCGTAACCGAGTGGGCGGAGGATCGTTTACAATTTTATTTATCAGTTTTCATCGACGCATTTTCAATGGAGTGTAAATATCGTTATTTGACAATCTAGTTTCTGACAATTAATTAAATGTTTCTCAGTGATCTGTATAACCGAGTGGTCAGAGGGTCATTTACAATTTTATTTATCAGTTTTCATCGACATATTTTCAGTGGAGAGTAAATATCGTTATTTGACAATCTAATTTCTGACACTTAATTAAATGTTTCCCACTGAACTGTATAATTCAGTACGTTGGGAATCATTTATAATTTTATTTAACAATTTTCATCAACACATTTTCAGTGCAATATAAATATTCTTATTTGACAGTCAACTTTCGGTTAAACTAATTAAAAATTTCACAGGTTTCACCAAGATCCATTAAAAAGCTAACGTTTCTAGTACGTTAAAAAATCTGTCGCAAAAATGGACAAACAAAATTACGCTCACTTAAACAACAACATAAAAATGTCAGCGAATTTTCTACAAAATGTATTTCCGTCGAAAACGTCCGAGTGCTAAAGAAAGGAGCTCCGTCTCCCTTTTTCCCCAGAACACGATCCCGGCGCAACGGCTCCCTGGATTCCGTAAAAAGAATCGACACGCCACAATTTCCCTGGCCCATGTCTTCGCGGCAAGTGTTCCTTAATTGCGAAGAAATCAGACCCGCGGTCGCGGGAAATCACATTTCGTCCGGCTTAATGGAATCACACGGCCACGCTCTACGTCGCGATCGGCTTAGATTAACCGGCACGCTGCCGCGGGAACGAAATAAAAAGTCGCCGTCTTAATATCCGGCAACCAGCGCCGCTTTTCCTCATTTTCCTCCGTATCACTTCCACGTATCAAGAGTAATTGCTTCCTGCTTAGCTGCTTTCCACCGTGTTAGGATCTCGCCGGTTCTGCCGATTAATAACGGGATTAATATCATCGCCGAGAGTAACCCAGTTTCGGCGGCGGCGGCGGCGAGTCTTCTTCTCGCGAGTTTTCCGCGAAACATTCGGATTCTTTGTTGGAATCGCAGGGACGATCCCTCGCGCAGACTGCGTGCAACGTTAATGACACGCGCGCGCGCGCGCGCGTCGCTGTGAATAATTTAAGCGGCGCATGCGATCGCGTCGTTCTTAATATTCGTCGTAACGCGACGGTCTCCTTTGTCGTATCAATCGTCGCCATCGTTCACGTTCTTCGGACAAATTTGCTCCCGCATCAGGCCCGACGTTTCTGCCGTTTAATTGCCAGCGAGTATTTGATGTTTCAATCGCTACGTGTTCCGTGGGATCGCCGGGATCTCGCCGCGAATCGCTATCTCTGCGGATCCTCCGAGCGAAATGTAATGGCTGACACAGTGTGTACCCTTTGGATCGTGTTACGGTGGAGCCTCGATTATCTGAACCTATGATATCAGGATTAGCGTTCAAATACGAGTGGGTTAGAATCATAGCGGTACAAATCACAGTTTCCTCATTGGGCGGTATAAGCTGCGCTATTGTTCGCTAACGTGTGTATTGTTTGCTAATTTATTGTTAGGAGAATCTGGGGTTAAGTTAATTTAGAGTTGAGTTAATTTCAAGTTGAGTTAATTTAGAGTTGAGTTAATTTAGAGTTGAGTTATTTAGAGTTGAGTTAATTTAGAGTTGAATTAATTTAGAGAGAGTGTTCAGACAATTTAGATTTAAGATAATTTAGAGTTAAGTTAATTTACAGTTAAATTGATCTAGAGTTAAGTTAATCTAGAGAGAGAGAGAGAGAGAGAGAGAGAGAGAGAGAGTTAAGTTAATTTAGATTTAAGATAATTTAGAGTTAAGTTAATTTAGAGTTAAATTAATTTAGAGTTAAGTTCATTTAGAGTTAAGTTAATTTAGATTTAAGATAATTTATAGCCAAAATAGTTTAGACTTAAATTAAGTTAGAGTCAAGATAACCTAGAGTTAAGTTAATTTAGATTCAAGATAATTTATAGATAGATAAGATAGTTTAGACTTAAATTAAGTCAGAATTAAGATAATCTAGAGTTAAGTTAATTTAGATGTTAGATAATTTATAGCCAAGATAGTTTTAATTTATAGCTTAAATTAAGTTAGAGTTAAGATAATTTAGAGCTAAGTTAATTTGTAGTAGCTTCGTAATTTAGTTTACTGTCTTTTTAACATTTTTCCATGCAACGACTGCATCTTGAGACATTCCGACGAATTAAAAAATTGCCGAATAAAATATTTCCGCGAACGAGATAAACGTCTTATTGAACAGCGCTTCGCGAACATTTGTCTGCAAATGGATCCCGACAAACTGGATCGTTTTCGCGAAGTTGTCTCGAAGTAGGCTTAAACGGTAACTGGCGCGACGTGTAACGTTTCGCTCTAGTCTGGCACTATATTAAACTGTAAGAGCCATTAAGCGCGTCCTTGTTTTCGCCGGAAGATTATCGGACCTCGTTATCGTGTGTCGGTCAGGCATTTCTGTAGCTTTCCTCGGCGTGCGTGCAGTAAGCCCGACATGCAATTTTCTTGCAGGACCTTTGCTTCATACTTTGTCGGATTTATAATGCGAGCACCTCCTTCCGACTATTCTATTTACGGACGTCCGTAATCCACGTGTCCGTGGTTGCTACGCGAGCATTATTTAATGCTAAGCGTTAAGATGCTTCATGGCAGATAGTAATCAACAACCATCGCATTCTGCGTTACGGCAAAAATGAACTATCGTTCGTGAACTTTTTTACATGTACTCACACATGCTTATATAAATTTTATAATAACATAATTATAATAATATATTATTAAATATAAAATTTGATAATAATATTTTCCAAATACTGATTGCTCCAACCGATGACCAATACTAATCTATTTTCCATCAGCAAGTTTTATTTATATTTTTGTAGCAATTCAATATTCGCCAGTTTAGACCGTCCGACAGTATTAACAGAACAATTTTACACTGCTAAGTGTAAATTTTTCTAGATATTGATTATATGTTTGTAGAAGCAGAAAGTACTTTGAAATTGAATTTAAATAAATGTTATCGATAATAAAATTATACAGTAGCGAAACAGAAAATGGTACACGTGTTAATACCACGTATTTTTTAACAATTAAAAAAATATATAATGTGTCTATAGGAGACAATTTTTCTAAGCTTGATGGTCGAACATGTAGCTATCGGCTGGCAGAAAAACCTGGGACACACAATAGAAATCCCGCGGACGATTACATGTATAAGGTTTCATTGGTCTCATCTGTTCCATGTTATTGGAAATTGGTGATTAATTTCAACGTCCAATCGCTACCTCTGTTGTAAATGGATTACGCCGTCGTTTGCAAGTAGTACAAACCGCATAGGTCTTTATTTCACGTGTGCATTGTAC